TTCTCTGATCATATCGTCCCGTTTCTGCCTTAACCATGTATCAACAATTTTTGGGAAAACTAATTTTACCACTTATAACAGCTGTTTAAGCGTCACACTATTTGAAAATAGAACAAAGATTTAATGAGGGTTCTCACTACTGCTAGTGGAACCAGAAATATTAAGTAAAAAATGCGTATATAGTATCTTAGGGGAAGAAACTAAGCATTTTTTCTTACTCTCTCTAAATTACCTCTATTGCAGATACGACGTTAAGGCAGAAATGAAACGATATGTACCTATCATTCGAAATCTCTTTGGAATCTCCGGCTCCGATTCTGTATTGAAACAAGAGACGTACCGACTGGACCGTGTTTAGGAGGGTACTATCGGAGTCTCTGCTAGGGTTGCCAGATTCTGAAACGGAGAAAGGAGTACATTTCTATTTTCGGTAGAAAAAAAAGCAGTACAGAACTTAAAAAAGGAATACAATTTTTGTGTGCAATTTATTGTTACAAATTACCATTATTTAGGTACAAACAAACACGGATATCATAGAAATCTTTTTCAAAGCAACAATAAATGTTAAAAATAAATAACTAAATTCTACAAAAGAATTCCAGGCTATTCCTGAATGTATGGCAATTTTTTTATTTTATAATTTAAAATTTGTCTGATTTTTATACCCGAGCGCCCTGCACCTACCTGCCTACGACCATGCTTACACCTTTTCACTATCACACTTAACTTTACTTACTAAGTAGTGTTTGCCACAATATGAATGGCAAAGTACAGGGCGTAAACTAATAACTGTCGCAAAGGTTTTTCGAAAAATAAAAGAGTCCTTTAAAGATTTTGCGAAAAAAAGTATTTTTTGCTAACTTTATAAATAGTTTTTTTTAATTTTATTAATTAGTTTTTAAAATTTAATCCTTATTTCCATTTGCCAGCTTTGGGAGATAAGTACATGCTTTTTCAGGTGTATTTTTTCTTAGATTTTGTATAAAAAAAAAGAAAACTGTATAGGTATAGGGTTGGTCGAATGAATGGCCTCCTAGTCACCAGTTCCCAGTCTTTTCGATTGCTGAGCATGAGGCCTTATGTTGGACAAAAGACGGAGTATAAAGGAGCCAAATGGAGGAAATTAGCCTATGGTTACAGAAGATATCGTCACTACACACGAATAAGGCGCGCTAGTGTTTTGACGGCGAAAAAAGGCGCGTAAAAAAATTTTGCGAAAAAGATGCTTATGAAAAACTTCGGCGAAGTATGTTAAGAGTCTTTGACGCTGAAGTTTTTTTATGCGTCTTTTTTCGCCGTCATTTTTTGCCTTTATTCGTGTCTAGTGACGATATGTAATAAAGTAACCGACGAAGACTTGCGTGCCGCTTGAGCTTTTCTCTCAAAGTGTTTACCGCTGGTAAACGCAAATGAAGGTTAAAATTTAAAAACTTATTAATAAAATTTAAGTAAAATCTGTGGATGATTAACAATAAACTACTTTTTCGCAAAATCTATAAACTCCCCTTTTAATTTTCAATAAAACCTGTGCAACAGTTATTATTTTACGCCCGATATATGATAAAATATTAATAGCTGGAAAAAGGAGTACATTTGTAGATATTTTTTTTGGAGTACATGGGAGTACATTACAAAAAAAGGAGTACGTTTACTCCCAAAAGCAGTACGTCTCGCAACCCTAGTCTCTGCTCAACGACGCTTCTCTCAGTAGGCTCGGCTTACTGTTACCATCTGATGAAGCGGAGCCTACATTCGCAAACCTTGCTTCTCTCGGTGAGTTAAGCTCATCGGAACAAATTTAAGAAGCCGTAGATTGCGTCACTAATGCCTGTAATACGTCCTGCCAATTGTACTTCCGAGAGGAAAGAAGAAGCCACACTGGTGGACCAAAGAAATTGCCTCTTTAAGGAAGGAAAGCAGGAAGCTCTTCAACGCTGCAAAGCTAATGGTTCTTGGTCTGCTTAGAAAGCAGCCCTGAAGAAATTTAAGAATGCCACCAGGAAAGCCAACAGGGACTCCTGGAAGGATTATTGTGTTAGCATAGAGAAACAATCGGAGGGTAATCGCTTGCGATAAGTGCTTGCCAAAAATCTGACGAACCCAATGTTTATTCAGAAGGCGAATGGCGACTGGACTTCATCCCAAGAGGAGATGCTTGAGGTTCTAATGAGCCCCCACCTTCCAGGGTGTACTGAGGAGCCTGGCGTTGCTCGCACCATTTCTGGACGCTCCCTAGAATACATAGATTTTGTTGATGTAGAAAGGGTAGATTGGGCCATAACGTCCTTCCAGCCCTACAAATCTGCAGGCATGGACGGCATCTTCCCTGCCGAACTTCGAGCAACGTCTGACATTCTATGTCCGATGCTTGTCTCAATCTATAAGGCTTGTCTCAGACTTAGCTTCATACCCAAGAGATGAACACTGGCGAAGGTTGTGTTCATTCCAAGGTTCTGTCCACTCCTGTGGAATCTAACGGTGAATACTCTGCTGTCGCAGCTACAGAGCACAGGCTGTCAGGTAGTTGCCTACGCTGATGATCTGGCCCTGACGGCGGTAGATAAGCACCCCCAAGTTCTTTGTGACCTGGTCCAAGGAATCTGGCCTTGGTATCAATCCAGGGAAAACAGTCATGGTCCTTTTCACAAAGAAAATTAAAACCGTCCAGATGCAACTTCCTTCCTTGACCGGTGTTACGCTGGCCCTCTCGGAGGAAGTTAGGTACCTGGGCGTTGTATTGGACAGAAAGCTAACTTGGCGGCGCAATGTTGAAGAGCGTTGCAAGAAGGCTATAACTGCCCTGTATGCCTGTAAATCAGCAATAGGAAAAAAGTGGGGCTAGAAGCCGCACATTGTGAACTGGATGTACACAGTAGTGGTGCGTCCAATTCTATTCTATGGTATCATGTTCTGGTGTCCATCCGTGGACAAACTTACAATCAAAAGCAGACTAACAAAGGTGCCTTTCCCTCAACGCCGACTAAAGCTTTAGAGACTTTGCTCCATTTTCTACCTGTGGACCTATATGGCAAACTGCAGGCAAGTTGTAATGGGGTTAGATTAAACGCGCTGATCAAGTGGAGTGATACAAGATTTGGACACTATAGAATTTTGGAAGGTCTTCCAGGAAACTTCTGGCGCCTTGACTACACAGTCCCGCCTACTAGACTAAAGAATCACTTCCAAACAAGGATCCCCTCAAGGGGTGAGTGGGAGAAGGATTCAATCCTGATCTCTTACTCTGACTCAGCAGCCATCTAAACCGATGGCTCCAAGCTAGATTTGAAGGTAGGAAGTGGGATATATTCGCAAGAACTCTCACTAACCCTCAGTTTCCGTCTGCCAGATTACTGTAGCGTGTTTCAGGCTGAACTATCAATCTACTAAGCTGCTAGATGGCTTATCGATTCTCCTACTAATCTACATGCAGTAACTATTTTTTCTGATAGCCAGGCAGCTATCAAAGCACTTAATTGGAACAAATCAACATCGAAGATTGTTATGGAATGTAGACGTACTCTAAATGAGCTTGCAAGGAGTCACTTTACTCAAGTTGTATGGGTACCCGGTCATAGGGACATACCGGGCAACTGTGTTGCGGATGAGCTGGCTCGGAAAGGAACCCTACTTCCTGCGATCAGTACCACTCGTAATTCTGGTATTCCGCTATCATCCTGTAAACTTTGGCTGCAGAATAACTTTATCGAACGGGCAAATATGAGATGGTCCGCGGAGCCCACGTGAAGGATAGCGAGACACATCTGGCCTAGGTTAGATAAGCGTTTGGAGCGACGAATGCTCCGCCATGTTATTGGAGTTCTCACCGGGCACTGCCTTATGGGAACCCACGCTGCCAGGATGGGTTGGTAACCAAACGATTACTGTCGTAGCTGCCGCGATGAGGAGGAAATCGAGAACGTGGAACATTACCTGTGCCACTGTCCCGCTTTGGCAAAGGCCCGTTGACGCTCGCTCCTTCGCTATTCTTTCGAGTGTCTGGCTGAACTGGACTCGGCCAGTATCTACAATTTTGTGCGCTTCATCAGAGCTACAAATTGGTTCAATTTCTGAGGTAGGAGGAGGGACGCTACGAGTCTCAAATATGGTATCACAATGGGCCCATGGAGACCTAAGTGTGCCCTTTTCCTGTACGGATGAGGGCAGCCAGGATAACCTTACCTAACCTAAGGGGTCGGCAAAAGTAAAACTGTGGCTGTGTTGGTAAGCGCAAGAAAACAGCCCGGTAGGAAATATAAAATATTTTATATATGTACCTAAGTAAGTGTCATAACGCCAAAGAAAAAATAGTATGCAAGAATAAACGTTAAGTCTTCTTCTATTTTGAGTAAAAATTTCTTAGCTGTACCATTTACCAGTAGCTCACTAGAACAAAATATGTATTAATTTTTTACTATGGGAGTATGTATTAATCCAAAACTTTAAAGCCGTTTTTCTCGAATTTTAGGTTTGTTAAGTTATGACAGTGTTGAGGTAAATGAGCGATATGCTCACAGATACATACACATATGTCTTTTGTGTTATTCGAATCTTTCCATATCCTTATGAAAATATTAAAAACGTCTTTTAATAGCATATTTCCTGCTTTAAATTCCTTACAATACAAAAGGCCACCGAAAGCATTTTCAAGCATTACAAACATACATACATATTTCTCGCAAGGCATCCTTATCGGCAAATGCTGATACTGCTTAATGCAGAGTCCCTCGGTGCTCTCGGCGATACAAAGGGGTTCATATACTATGGCTTCGAGAAGGTGGTTCTACGGATTCTACCGACCAAAGCCAAAGCAGATGACCTTCTGCCTGCAGCAACTTCGGAGGGAGGAAGTGAGGCCATTGACTCCGCCAGCATGGAGTTGGGAGACTCGGCTCAATCGGATGCTGAGAGCATTGGGGGTGGCTCCTCAGCCGGGGCGTCCGTCTTCAGTCTCGAGAGGCTGTTCGGTGAGGTCGATGTCCGCGGTGAGAGCGCGGAACTAGCGCTCATGGAGGATATTATGGAGAATGAAGATTCTGCAGATTAATCTCCAACATTCCAAGGCGGCATCCGCCAATCTTCTGCTCCACCTTGAGCAAGGTGGGGCTGACGTGGTTCTAATACAGGAGCCATGGCTGAGCAGTAATGGTATCTCTGGAATCAGAAAAAGGAACTACAAGCTGATAGCGGCGAACAACGTAGGTAGAACTAGGGCCTGTATGCTTATCAGAGGTGAACTAAAAGCTTTTATTTTGCATAATTTGAGCAATGAAGATGTGGTTACAATTAGGCTGGAACGAGAGGCTGGAGAACTCTGGCTTATATCCGCCTACATGCCACACGATGACGAGGTGGAGCCACCTCCAACGCTGCTGAGGAGCGCTCAATCAGAAGCCAAGCGACGGAAAGCTGGCGTGATCTTGGGGTCCGATGCGAACTCGAGGCACTCAGTTTGGGGCAGCTCGGATACAAACTTGCGAGGTGAGTCACTTTTTGAGTTTATTCTAAGTGAGAACTTACATATCTGTAACAGGGGGAATTCCCCTACGTTTATAACTGCTGCCAGGGAGGAGGTTCTTGACCTCACACTGGCTTCATCTGAGACAGCACCTCTGATCTCGGATTGGAGGGTTCTGATCGAACACTCTTTTTCGGATCATAGGTATATTCAATTCTCTTTGGACGAAACGCGTCCACATAGCAAGCCCTTCAGGAACCTGAGGAGCATGAACTGGGATATGTATAACAGGAACCTTCGCGGAGTGCTCCCTGATGCGCCAGAACCGAATTCTGTGCAGTCGGTAGACTCGCTGGAGGAGCTTGTTGAAGTTTTCAGCTCCGCGTGCAGGGAAGCTCTTGAAAGCGCATGTCCGCTGAGATTTCAGAAAGGTAGAGGGAAACCCATTTGGTGGACTGTGGAGCTCTCTGAGTTAAGAGCGTCGAGCAGACGACTTTTCAATAGGGCCCGTAGGAGTAAGTTGTCTTCTGATTGGAAACTCTATAAGGTTGGACTAGGAATCTACAAGTCCGAAATAAGAAAGGCAAAAAAGGTTTCATGGAGGTCTTTCGGCGAAAACGTTGAAGGGTGTCATGAATCTTCGAGATTTAGGCGTATTCTCGCTAGGAATCCTGCTCCGCTGGGTTACTTGAGGGATGAGGCAGGTCACTGGACTATGAGTGGGGAGGAGTCGCTTAGGCTGCTTCTGGACACTCACTTTCCTTCCGATCTCTCCCCTGAGAAGATCTCCTTAGGGAAAGTGTGTAGACTGTGCTGCTGTTTCTGACCTTCTGGATGAGCGCCGCCTGGCGTGGGCGATCAATTCGTTCGAACCCTGACCTGATGGCATCATACCTGCGCAGCTGCAAATGGCGGCGGAGGTGTCGTGCCGTTGGTTGGCCCCAATCTACGCGAGCTGCGTTAGATACGGGTAACATTCCCAGGGGTTGGAGGGTCGTCAAGGTGGTGTTCATCCCGATGGCCGAAAGGAGCTCTAATGTCGCCCCCAAGGACTTTAGGCCAATAAGTCTTTCATCGTTTCTGCTGAAGACGTTGGAAAGGCTGGTTGATATGCACATAAGGAGCATGATTCCTCGGGATCGCCTGTCTAAAGCTCAGCATGCTTACTGTAAAGGACGGTCAGTCGATACTGCTCTGTATACAATTGTGAGGTGTATAGAGGAAGCCTTCACTCACAAGGACTTTGCCGTAGGAGCCTTCCTCGATATCGAGAAGGCTCTTAATAATGTCCTGCCGGACGCAATAGTTAAGTCGCTAGATAAGCTTGGGTTTGAGGTCAGTCTCATTAGGCTGATCGAAAGCTTGCTGCGTGACAGAACTGGCCGTCTGGGGCAGCGCCTGCTTGTCTCGCATGGTGAGCAGGGGCACACCGCAGGGAGGGGTTCTCTCACCCCTTCTCTGGGTCGTCGTGGTGAATGGGCTACTAGTGGAGCTGGAGAAACACGGCTGTCGGGTAATTGCCTATGCAGACGATGTGGCGCTCCTAGTTAAAGGTAAATACCTGACCACTCTGTATGAACTGACCCAACGGTACCTCAACATAATTACTAACTGGGCGGCCAAAAGTGGTCTTGCCGTAAACCCCAGTAAGACAGAGCTGGTCTTATTCACACAAAAATATAAAATCCCCGCCGCTGCCCTTCCCTTGGTTGGAGGTCTGCGCTTACAGCTGTCTGACAGGGTCAAGTACTTGGGCTTGATCCTGGACAGGAAGTTGTCGTGGGTACCAAACATCGAGGAAAGGGCAAGAAAGGCATCAGTGGCCTTATATTGCAGTAGGGGAGCTGTTGGTAAGAGATGGGGCATCTCCCCTAAAGTTGTCTATTGGCTATACGAGACCGTAGTCGAGCCAATTATGTTCTATGGGGCCCTAGTCTGGTGGAACTCACTGGAAAAGGCTATACTAGCTAGGCAGCTGGAGCGCGTACAACGGGCTGCTTTAATTGGAATTAGTGGGGCACTGCGAACCGCCCCCACATTAGCACTGAACGCAATGCTAAACGTAGCGCCTGTGGACGTTGCAGGCAGAGTTGTGGCGGCGCGAACGGCTATTAGACTCAGGGAAACCGATTGGCTGACCAACTTAGGGACTGCACAATCTGGATCTCTAGGAGGTTTCGACTTCATCCCCGATCGCACAGATTACTGCACCACCGTTACGGCTCCTAGGAGCTTCTTCTCTGTCCACTTTCCCTCAAGGGATGAGTGGGCCGGGCGGGACTTCTGGAGGAGGGGTGCGGTGAACTTCTTTACGGATGCATCGAAACTGGATGGCAGGGTTGGTGGAGGGGTCTTCTGTAGAGAGTTTTCCATCAGCACTATGTTCAGGCTCCCGGACTTCTGCAGTGTATTCCAGGTGGAAGTATCTGCTATCAAGGAGGCGGTGGATTCACTGCTAAGGAGCGTTATAACCGTCAGGGAAGTGAGCGTATATTCTGATAGCCAGGCGGCTATCAGGGCTTTGAGTTCGTTAGAGGTGCGCTCTAACCTGGTTAAAGAATGTCTTCTCTCTCTTTCGGCCGCGTCGGAGTACTTCCGCATTAGGCTTATTTGGGTTCCGCGACACAGCGACATTGGGGTGAACTGCATGGCTGACGAGCTGGCCTAAGCCTAAGCCTGAACATTCTGCCGCACCCTTTGTGTCACTGTTGCCTGGAAGATGACGAGGTAGAATCACCTCAACTCTACATTCTTAGGTGCCCAGCGTTTGCGAGGCTAAGGTTGAAGTACTTTGGCTCTCACTTTCTAAACAGCCCCGAGGAGCTCTGGGGCATTGAGATCAGCCGTACATAATCGGCTCGGAGCGTTTTAACGATAAAGTTTAGGGGGCCTTTCCAAATTGTGGTATCACAAAGGACAATCTTACATTGTCTAAGTGAGCTCCGGTTATACGGGGCTGCCACCTTACCTAACCTAACCTAATCTTACACACAGATAGAATCATCTTAGTTTAGTTTATTTTGTTTTCAAAGAACGTATTTTTAAATAGTTAAATAAAGACTCTGAATTTGACAGACATACGCAATTACATATGTATTGAAAAAGTCACATTTACAGATGCAAATACATATCGTGTAGGAACACCTTTATGAGCCATCCTCAAATAAAAAATTTACCAAAAATATTTAGCACAAAAACCATTGTAAATATTCAAAATTCTATATATTCTTATAAGATGCCGGAGAGTCTATGTATATTTCAATACATTTGATACAATTTAACGCTGAGTTATCACAAATAAGCATTCAATATATCACCGTTTGTCTAATTTTTTCACACGACTTAGTTTATATTTTTAATTATAGGTATGACATAAATACCCCTCATACGTAACAAATATAAATTATTTTTCAGAATAACGGAGAAAATGAAGGAATAACTGACACTTTATGTTCTTAATTTTAACGCGCAGTTTGCCTCAAAAAGGAAATTAGTGCAAAACAAATAGCTAATTAATTATAAAATAAAGTATTTTTTATTTAGAAAATTGTATGCGTGCTTATTTAATTACAGTATTTAAAGAAAAGGCTTTATCAAGGCTACTTCATTGAACCAGCTCAAAACTAACCAAATTTTTTCTAGCCCGGAGATGACCCTTTATGAACTATCTAGGAACTGTTGTTATATGAAGCCAAGCCAAAGTCGCACAGAACAAGTTCAAGAGTTCTGCAGTGAGCGATAATTATCTCTTCGTAGGACATCGCCATGTTAAAAAAGACAGTTGAAAGCATTAAGTTGGAATAGATGAAGAACCAGTACCGTCCCTTCTCAGGCTAGCTCAGCGCAACTTCTGAACCAATTTAATTTGCTGCAGGGTAACTGCATATGTATGAATGGACATTTCTCTGACCTCATGATTTTTTTAAAAAGGCTTTATCGAGCCCTAACCGCCAAAATAACGTAGGCGAAATTTTTTCAAAATTTTCGTTTTGATGCAGAAATATTCCTAAAGCATCTAGATGCATTTAGGCATCAAAACGAAAATTTTGAAAAGAATGTCGCTTACGTTATTTTGCCATTTAGAGCTCGTTATAATGTGAAAGATATGGTTAATTCCAAAATTTATTTAAAAAAAATCAGTGCAATGTAAAACAAAAGTATGGGCACCAAATGAAATATTTTTTTTTGGGTTCACAAGGACGAATAGGAATTGAAAATGCCCCTTTAATCTATTTTATTATTTAAGCTAATAAAGTTAGTCCTTAACACATAATTTTTGTTTTAAATTAGAATTGAAAAATTTCAAGGATATTCAAGGATAAAATTATAAAAGGGTATTTTCAATACCTACCCGTCCCTTACGGACCAAAAATGTAATGTGTTTTAACTCTACAGAATCTTCCCTTTCATTTGATACCCATACTGGTTTCTTAAGTATATTGCACTGAAATTTTTAAATAATTTTTTGAATTACTCATATATGAATAGTCCACTTGCAAACAGCGTTGTGTGATTTTATAATGCCATAAATTTAAAAAAAAACGTCTACAACAACAAGTAACATCCAAATTGTATATTTCTTTTTATTATCTGAAAATTGTGATAAATAAGAGCCTAATAACATTCAAAACAAAATCGAAGTGTGGTAGTTTTTCCAAATTTTATATATAAATATTTAATATAGCGAGTTTTGAAACAGTAACATTTATATAGCTAGCCTTTTTTAGCTTTTTGCGTTCTCTCTTCCATGAAGGTTGGTCTGCTTTTTTTTTAAGACGTCTTCCACTAGGCACCGAAACTACCACGTTTTCTTGCAGTTTTCTAAGTTCATCAGAATGTGGAGTGTTTTGAACTTATATAAATACGTGCAATAAATATTAAAGCGACTTTTGAAAGTGTATATATACATGCAGTAAGTATTATAGCGAGTTTTGTTAGAGTAGCTAACATTTGATGCTATTTTTTAAGAATATATAAGAATTTTGCATTGTATTGTAAGTAGGGTTGCCAGATTTTGAAACGGAGACGGGAGTACACTTATATTTTCGATAGCAGTACATGACATAAAAAAGGAGTAAAATTTTTTTTTTTAAATTTTTTGTTACAAATTACCATTAATTAGGTACAAACAAACAAAGATATCTTAGAAATCTTTTTCAAAGCAACAATAAATGTGAAAAATAAATAACTATATGGGTTGGTTTTCCAATAGGGACGGTTCGGTGATCGAAGGGCGAGTGGACGTGGCACCTTTTCCGACCTTTTTGGAGAGGGCATGAACCGCTATTGACAAAAATGTTACTCCCGACCACCTAGGGCCCCTATGGTTCCCCAGGGAACCCTTAGAAAAATTGCCAAAAGTCACAATTTCCACTTGCGTCCATAGTATTTTTGCGTAGAATTCGGTTCTCAATGACCGCCCTTATACGAAAGTTTCTCCAACAAAAAAACTAAAAACTACAAAAGAATTCCAGACTCTTCCTGAATGTATGGCCATTTGTTTTAATTTAAGCCTTATAATTAATTAAATATTTTTCTGATTCTTATACCCGAGCGCCCTGCCCCTAAGGCCATGCTTACACTTTTTCACTATCACACTTATATTTGCTTACTAAGTAGTGTTTGCCACAATATGAATAGCAACGTCCAGCGCGTAAAATAATAACTGTCGCACAGGTTTTTTGAAAAATAAAAGGGTTCTTTATAGATTTTGTGTTTTTTTGTTAACTATGTTAATATTTTACTTTAATTTTATTAATTGGTTTTAAAATTTTAATCCTGATTTGCATTTGCCAGCTTTGGGAGATAAGTACATGCTTTTTCAGGTGTATTTTTTCTTAGATTTTGTATAAAAAAAAAGAAAACTGTATAGGTATAGGGTTGGTCGAATGAATGCCCTCCTAGTCACCAGTTTCGAGTCTTTTCGATTGCTGAGTATGAGGCCTTATGTTGGACAAAAGGCGGAGTATAAAGGACCCAAATGGGGGAAATTAGCCTATGGTTACAGAAGATATGTAATAAAGTAACCGACGAAGACTTGCGCTTTTCTCCCAAAACCCTGGTAAACCCAAATGAAGGTTAAATTTAAAGACTATACATTAACTACTTTTTTTACTTGCGCTTTTCTCTCAAAGTGTTTACCGCCGGTAAACCCAAATGAAGGTTGAAATTTAAAAACAAATTAATAAAATTGAAGTAAAATCTGTGGATAATTTATTTTTCAAAAAAAAAACTGTGCAACAGATATTATATTACACCCTGTATATGATAAAATATTAAGGGAAGTTTGGAGACATAAGATCAGATGGGATGAAGACATCCCGGTTGAAGTCAACTCAGCATGGGAGAGGTTACGTCAGCAAATCCCCAACGTAGAACAATGCAGAATTCCGCGCCATTATTTTGATAGTAAACCTGTGAAGCAATTATAACTGCACGTATTTGTGGATGCAAGCGAGGACGCATTCGCAGCGGTAGCTTACTGGAGATACGTTACAGCTTGTGACATGATAAGAGTAACATTTGTATGCGCTAAAACTAGAACTGCTCCATTAAAGCCGCTAACAATTCCGCGCCTTGAACTACAACCAGCTGTTCTAGGAATAAGGCTGATGAAAACGATTTTCAATGAACATTCCCTTAAAATTAACGACTGTTTCCTATGGAGCGATTAAAGCACAGTTTTAAATTGGATTAAGAGCGAGAATCGCCGATACAAGCCCTTCGTCGCTCATAGGATTGCGGAGATTCTTGACGGATCAAAACCAAGCAACTGGAGATGGTTGCCTACATCCACCAATGTTGCCGACGAAGCTACACGCTCCAAGTGTCCAATAGACTTTTCGCCGACATCGCGCTGGTTCAGTGGACCGACATTCCTAAGAGGCTTACAAGGGCATTGGCCTGACGCTGACGCCGTTGGGAAAACAGTAGCAAAGGGAGCCGATGACGAGGAGATTAAGCCGAAATTTGTATTGATAGCCGCGCGTAATACGTTAATTGATTTTAGTCGTTTTTCATCTTTTAATAAACTTAGACGTACAATCGCCTGGATTCTCAGATTTATTTCACGATGCAGAATGCAGAAAACAGACCAGCAAGCGTATGGGTTAACAGCAGAGGAAATCGAGAAGGTGCAGATAACATTGTGTCGTCTGGTCAAAAAGGAAATATATGCCGCCGAGTTAAAAAGTATTGCTGAAAAAAGAACAGTCGCGCGGGACAGCGAGTTATATCAACTCTGTCCTTATGCTGACGAAGATGGGGTTCTGAGAGTCTACGGAAGGATTGATGCTGCAACTTGTCTTCCCTATTATACTAAACGTCCGATTATTTTGCCAGCCTGTCATTTGGTTACGGAGTTGATAGTTGCCTATAATCACAGCAAGATGTTTCATCAAAACGTCGAAGCGACCATCACTGAGATTCGTCGTACATTTTGGATTCCGCGCCTTCGCCAAGTACTGCGTTCTTGCTAACTGTGGTCTGTGTAAAATTTCAAAAACAAAACCTGTTGCACCATTAATGGGCTCACTGCCGCAGGACCGCCTGACACCATATGTCCGCCCGTTTACTTTTACTGGCCTTGATTATTTCGGGCCGATCAACGTTTCGATAGGCCGCCGAACAGAGAAGCGATGGGTTGCCTTATTTACCTGCCTCACGGTGCGGGCCATTCATTTGGAATTGGCACAGGATCTCTCGACTGACGCTTGTATACTATCTATCCGCAACTTTATCAACAGACGAGGAGTACCCGCGCGTTTGCGTTCTGACAACGGCACAAACTTCATTGGAGCAGACAAGGAAGCTAAGAAGTTCACCGAAGTATTTGATTGTGAGAAGATCCAGGATTAGCTGTCGTCGAAGGGAGTTGAGTGGATATTTAATTGGCCGAGTAACCCATCAGAAGGCGGAGCATGGGAACGGATGGTGCAGTGTGTTAAGCGGGCGCTGTGGCACACTCTGAAAGAAGAAGCTCCTAAAGAGCATACACTGATAAGTGTGTTAATTGAAATTGAGAACATCTAGGCCTCTTACCCATATTCCTATAAGTAGCGATCAGGAAGAACCATTGACACCTAATGATTTGTTGCTGGGCTCGGCGAATACGGCTAACACTCCAAGTGTAGAGGATCCTCTCAAGAAATTATGTGCTCTTCGTAAACAGTGGCGATTGTCGCGCCAGTACAGAGACCGTTTTTGGAAACGCTGGATAGCGGAATATCTGCCGACGTTAACGCGAAGGGTTAAGTGGTGTCGCCGAGAAAGAGCGTTGCAGGTTGGAGACTTGGTGCTTATATGCGAGGCAAGCACTCCAAGAAGGAATTGGTGTCGTGGCAGAGTGGTGCAAATATATCAAGGAACTGATGGGGA